TTGCAGCATTTTGCAGCATTTTGCAACAAATTGCAGCATGTTGCAGCAAATTGCAGCATTTTGCAACAAATTGCAGCATGTTGCAACAAATTGCAGCATGTTGCAGCAGTTTGCAACATGTTGCAGCATTTTGCAGCATTTTGCAGCATGTTGCAGCATTTTGCAGCATGTTGCAAGCTGGTCGCGCATAGGGCTAGTGCGCGAGGGACTCGGATCGGAAAAACAAAAGCCGAGCAACACGAGCAGAGCAGAAAAAGGATCGATAAATCAATACAATCAATAATCATCCCATACATCATATCTAAACCCATCATTCATCTCAGGAAGCCTAGAAACAGTGCTTCAATCTGACAGGTGTGAGAGCAACTGCCAATCCCTGACACACCGATGCGGCTGATGCTAATCCCCGACACACCGATGCGGCTGATGCCAATCCCTGACACACCAATGTGGCTGATGCCAATCCCCGACACACTGATGTGGCTAGAGAGGTGGAACAGACGCAACTATCTATAATGTAAACATGTTTTACACAATGCATGCTAGAGTAAACTTCATGCAAATTAACAGAAAGGTGCACCTATATTATGTATACATTTTTTTAAAAAAAGAATGTAAGAAATACATAAGTTGACAGAGAAATAGCGCTACTAGGGTTTATCTAAAGAAATTCTAACTAACTAGCGCGTCCAAAAGAGGAGATTCTGCTCAACTTTTTGTTCTGCAAACCCGAATATAATAAGCAGAGCAAGCTCTGCTAATAAAGTCGCAAATAGTTGTTTATGGCTAGCGCGCGTGCCAAGCCTATATGTGGTCAGTGCATTAGCGGTGACAAGTAGGTACCTATACCGAAACCCCCCCTCTACCCCCTAGCTATCTCCTTATCCTACACGTTAGCTAGACCCATGCTAAGCTGTTCAGCTACACGTTAGGACAATAAATAAAACCCCTAGCTAAAAATGTAAGAATTATTTTGCGTTAACCTTAAAAGAGTATCCTGTATAGGGTTTAGCGCATTTTACATTATAACGCATGCTCTATCACAGTAAATTTACCTGTCACGTGTGCTACTACGTATATACATATTAAGGAGCGGACAAAGAGAGGGGGTTTAGCGATACATACTGGTACTTATACCAAAACCCCCACCTCCTCTTCCTTCCACCCCCTCTCCCTCCCCCTCGCCTGCTTGAATCTGTTAAATCTGTCTAGCAACTTCGGCATCTTCGCCGGTCATTAGATGTGCAGCTGGCAGTAGACAGTTTGTTTGCAGATTTTGTTGCTAGGTAGTTTGTCAAAGTTTATCCTCCTAAGAAATTAGAAGCTAAACAGTTATCTAAAGGCCAATTTCTGTAGGTGTCTTAGTAGGTACATCTGCAGGAATCTAGGGCTCATATGCAATAAAATCAGCAAGCCCCTAAGGATGGCGTTGCCGCAGGTATTGTTGTTAATCACGTTTCTTCCTAGCATCTGCTGCTGCTGCTGTTGTAGGAAATTTCCTTAGCCTACCTAGAGGCTTTTTAGGGACATTAATAGATAGCATAATGCAAATAATGTTATAATAGTTAATAATTAAAAGGCTTCTGCTGCCTGTTAACACTTTTAAATTCTATAACTGCCTAAATCTAGTTAGCGTAGTAACAGCACGCCCCTTATCACATTATCTCATGCGCTAACGCTTACACCCCTTGCCTAAATAGCAGGCTGTAATAGCTTAGCGCAGCAGGTAAATGCCTAATAACATAGTAAATTTAATAAGAAGAAAAAACAATCTTCTTGCTGTTAGATAAAGTTTAGAAGTACTTAACTAACTTACATATAGTCTAGAGGCAGGGCCATTAATATCCTAGCATGGCGCCACCAGGTCTCACTCTGTTAGAGGGGGGGCCTAGAAAAAGGTTACTGCAACCTTTTTCTAAACCACCCCTTTCCTAATTATCCTAGCTGCGTACTACAGTTTACAGAGATATACTATAGTTTACAGCAATATGCTTCTACTCACGCTGCTAGTTAATCCTAGCTAACAATCTTAGGCACTAGCCTATTACACAGGCATTCTATCTACGCCCATGTTCTAGGTATAGTATTCTATGCAATTACGTCACCCTGACAAGTAGCCCTAGCGCAAAATACAGCATATTGTTGTTTTTACAGCCACAGATAAAGACTGTCTAATTTTGTAAAAAGCCTTAATGTGGCTAGCACACCTTACTAAGTGCGCAATGCTATTCCTGACTACCTACTATACATATGCATACTATATTACAGAATCTAGCTTGCAGGGCCCTTGTAAAACGTTTCTGTCTATTATCTATGTACTACTAACCGCTAGAGGTGGGTGCTGTTCAATTCTACTAAAAACCTAAAAGCAGCAAGCGCTTAATGCTAGCTAAGTACTATAATGCTATTCCCAACTACCTACAAACTATACGTATGCATACTATATTACAGAATCTAGCTTACAGAGCCTTTGCAAAACAGTTCTGTCTATTATCTACGTACTACTAACTGCTAGAGGTGGGTGGTGTTTAATTCCACTAAAAACCTAAATGCAGCTAGCGCCTAATACTAGCTAAGTACCACAATGCTATTCCCAACTACCTACAAACTATACATATGCATACTATATTACAGAATCTAGCTTTTAGAGCCTTTGTAAAACGTTTCTGTCTATTATCTATGTACTACTAACAGCTAGAGGTGGATGGTGTTTAATTCTACTAAAAACCTAAATGTAGCTAGCGCCTAATGCTAGCTAAGTACCACAATGCTATTCCTAACTACCTACAAACTATACAGATGCATACAATATTACAGAATCTAGCTTACAGAGCCATTGTAAAACGTTTCTGTCTATTATCTACCTACTACTAACTGCTAGAGGTGGATGGTGTTTAATTCCACTAAAAACCCGAATGCAGCTAGCGCCTAATGCCAGCTAAGTACTATAATGCTATTCCTAACTACCTACAAACTATATAGATGCATACAATATTACAGAATCTAGCTTATAGAGCCTTTGCAAAACGTCTTTGCCTATTTTCTACTTACCACTAACTGCTAGAGGTGGATAGTGTTTAATTCCACTAAAAACCTAAATGCAGCTAGCGCCTAATGCTAGCTAAGTACCACAATGCTATTCTTAACTACCTACAAACTATATAGATGCATACAATATTACAGAATCTAGCTTGCAGAGCCTTTGCGAAACGTTTCTGTCTATTATCTATGTACTACTAACTGCTAGAGGTGGGTGCTGTTTAATTCCACTAAAAACCCGAATGCGGCTAGCACCTAATGCTAGCCAAGTACCATCTATAATGCTATTCCCGACTACCTACAAACTATATAGATGCATACAATATTACAGAATCTAGCTTGCAGAGCCTTTGCAAAACGTCTCTGCCTATTTTCTACTTACTACTGACTGCTAGAGGTGGATGGTGTTTAATTCCACTAAAACCCTAAATGCAGCTAGCGCCTAATGCTAGCTAAGTACCACAACGCTATTCTTAACTACCTACAAACTATATAGATGCATACAATATTACAGAATCTAGCTTGCAGAGCCTTTGTAAAACGTTTCTGTCTATTATCTATGTACTACTAACTGCTAGAGGTGGGTGCTGTTTGATTCCACTAAAAACCTAAATGCGGCTAGCACCTAATGCCAGCCAAGTACCATCCATAATGCTATTCCCGACTACTAACAAACTATATAGATGCATACAATATTACAGAATCTAGCTTACAGAGCCTTTGCAAAATGTTTCTATCTATTATCTATGTACTACTAACAGCTAGAGGTGGATGGTGTTTAATTCCACTGAAAACCTAAATGCGGCTAGCGCTCAATGCCAGCTAAGTACCATAATGCTATTCCTGACTACCTACAAACTATATAGATGCATACAAAATTACAGAATTTAGCTTGCAGAGCCTTTGCAAAACGTTTCTGTCTATTATCTACGTACTACTAACAGCTAGAGGTGGATGGCGTTTAATTCTACTAAAAACCTAAATGCAGCTAGCGCTTAATGCTAGCCAAGTACCACAATGCTATTCCTGACTACCTACAAACTGTATGGATGCATACAAAATTACAGAATCTAGCTTGCAGAGCCTTTGCAAAATGTTTCTGTCTATTATCTATGTACTACTACTAGCTGGAGGTGGATGGTGTTTGATTCCACCAAAACCCCAAATGCAGCTAGCGTCCCTTGCTGCCTTGCTAAACAATCCTCTTACTAAAAACAGTCAAGACCTCTCTAATGCCTACCTTTTAACCACTCTCTCTTCTGCCACAACGCCTATATAGCTTAACCGCTGCCTGCCTGTAGCTTTTGAACCTGTTTTCGTCCCTTTGCGCGAAAAAAACCCTACTGTCCCAGGTCTAACCTTATGCCTGTTTCTGCGGTTCATAACATTCGACGGATTAAGAGGCGTTGCTACGCTGTGCGCTATAAGCTATTCTCAGTGGTAAGTTAGAAGCCCTCGATGTTTCCTTTTCCAGCTTTTTATCAAGCCATCTCTGGCGCGCTCCTGCATTCGGCAGCCCTCATTGGCTCATCAAATTTTGATTCGTCACCCGCAGAATTTCAACCTTGGACTAAATCCCACACATCATTCGGAGACCAAATCGAACTGTTCAAGGCTGTCTCCTTTGGCAGCCTGTGCATATTTGGTAGTCGGATCGGTCTGCTGCGTGCAACAGCCTATCTGATGCTTCGCCAGAGAGCCGCAACATTATTTGCAACACCATATTGTCGCCCTGATGTCTACCCAACAGGCTCCAAATGGCACTGCAGGGAAAGAACTAGTTTTCAGCTCGGAATTTCTTTTTCCAGCCTTGCGACGTTCCCTTAGTTTTAGCCCCACCTTATTCATATTGTGTCACTAGTTGCAGGCCAAAAAGGAAGGATTGCATCAAACAGCTCATAATCCCACCAATTAGGGCCTTGTGGCTGCAGCAGATAGGTCGAATACGCCAACAAATACGGCGCCATGAAACAGGATCAAGTTCGACACCTGCTAATCTGGAAAACTCTCACACCAGGCTGAGCCTCAGCCTTGTGAGATCGGATGATAAAAGCCGTCCCGCTTTCCCTCCCACTTGTTATTAATACACCTCATCCTTCTTACCAACTTGCTCAACCGCTAGGATGTCCAGTCAATCGTTCCGGAACCCTCCCGAGAGGACCAAAAGCCCTCTGGTTTCGAGTGGTAGCGGGCAATTATCACCAACTCTTACGGCTCAAACGCCTTCCAGAACATCTGTGGCGATCGGGGGTCGAGCGCCATCCATACTGTCTTTGAAGGACATGGCCATCTCTTCCCAAAAGGCTCGCTCTCAGGTGCTGCAGCCGACTGCTCTTAGTCCACCTGAAGAGCCCTCAAGAATTTGCGAATGTTGCGACACTGCTGAGGGATGCATATGGAACTGCTCCTACTGCGACATGAACTTTTGCGACCTCTGCTGGGGACGACAAGGACCACATAAGCCCGGTCGGACTGGGCCAGACGGTCTGCCGCACGAAAAAGCAGACCCAAATATCGTCAAAAGGTTGAAAAATATTTTGACCCCGCCGACTGACACCTTTGAACAGCAGTCGCTGCATTTGGATGATGAAGACACTACCTGGTTCGGAATCGCACGGGACAACAATAATCAATCAGTCTTTCAAGACTACGGACGCTATGCTACAATCATGATAGATAGCACAACAGGTGCTCACAAACTCCGATATCCCCAGCTTATCTCTTTCATTGGGCAAACGGGGGCTGGCAAAAGCACTTTGGTCAAGATGCTGATCGACCAGCAAGTGCGCAAAAAGCCCGCTCATGAATCCTCTCATTTCGCTTCCCCGGTGGTTGGTTCGTTACGCAATGAAAACGTACCAACCTCTGGTGATGTTCATCTATATGGCGACCCTAACACGTATTTCGGCGAATATCCCTTGCTTTATGCCGACTGCGAAGGTCTCGAAGGTGGCGAGAACTTACCCGTGAGTGCGCAATATTGCAACTCGAGTTTCTTGCCAAAGGACAAGGATAAGGACAAGCGTTATGCTCAACATGAACATCATCGCAAGCGGCATAAAATCACCAAAGTAGCCCGTGGGGCTCCCCGAAGCATCAAGTGGGCCAATTCTCCCGAAAAGTCAAAACGTCAGTACGCTGTTACTGAGCTATACCCACGACTACTGTATACCTTCTCCGATGTGATCGTGTTTGTCCTCCGGAATCCCAAGTATGTTCTACTTCTTTGTTCTCAGTTCAATTCGGATCACTCACAAACCTTAGGGTCTTCGAGTCAACGGTGCTTTCGAAACTCATTGGCTGGGCTTCGACATCGATGGAGAAGTCACTCAACCAGCCGACCCTTCCACACGCTGTAATTGCTCTTAACGCCACGGATATGGAAGTGCAACAGGAAGAATGGGATCCTGAACAAGCGACCAAAATGCTCCTGTCAACAGTCGCGGGTGCCATCGACAGAGACTCCGACTACCGGGCTCTAGCTGACTACTGGAGTGGACGAGGGAGACATATTCGAACCATGGGCGGCCTTCTTGAATGTTACTATTCTTCCATCACAGTCGTCCGCATTCCTGTAAAGGGTCGTTACATGAAGATTGATTCCCAAATCAAGAAGCTGCACAAGGTGCTTATGGACAAATGTTGGGAATCTTTTAAGTCAAAGCGCCGGTCACGCATGTCTTGCATGAGCTGAGGAGGGGACATATGGCAAACGACTCGACAAGGGATCGAGATCCAAACAAGGTGGAATGAGTGTATTGTAAGGTCTGAGGAGCTCGATAGAGCTCTAAGCTGACTATATACTGTACGAGATAGGAGCTATGCCTAATGAGTGAATAGTGCAGTACATGGGTATGATATCGCGTGAGACACGTGCGACACACCCCCCCAGCTTTGACGAAGTGAATACTGAAGCAAAGCTGTACAAAGAGAAATAATAGACTGCAGGTGTACAGTAGTGCACTCAAGAGTGCGAAACAGCAAAAAGAAGTTGGTAGGCTTAGGCTTTAAAGCCAATGTTAGTAGAGTGAGCCTTTAGGGCGTCACTTAGGCGGA